ACAGTGGAGTTCTTTACCACAATCCCAGTGAGCATCTCAAGGAGTAATACATCCACAGTCCACACTGCTTGTCAATCTTAAAACCCTAAAGGGCAAACTATAATGAGGATTCAGGGTTTGAAAATAAAGTATACTTCCACACTTCTGCAAAAAAAATCTGCCTCCGAGTTGCCATCTAACAAATGTTTGTTTGTTTGTATGTTGTTTAACGCAGCACTCAGCAATATTCAAACTATATGGTGGCGGTCTGTAAATAATCAAGTCTGGACCAGATAATCAAAGTTGGCCTCAAAGTTTAAATTTTTACCAAGTAGCCATAAGGCTTCAAGTATTTTTTTCCCAGTTAGCCAGTGGGAAAATAAATAAGTCAAGCCAATAGTGTAAGTAGTCAATAGCATTTGAAACTATCTTTTATCAAATAACTTTTATAATTTATATGTACAAGTCATAGCATCAGTCTTTGAATTGCATATTTGTGGAAACTGTACTTGAGTTTAGTTATTTGTGACTCAACCAATGATGCAATTTATGTTACTAGATTATATAGGTATATCCTTGCTTATCCAATAAACTATCAACTAAAATAAAATACTAACATTAATATTTATGTATTTCGGTTCATTGCTGACTTTAGGAGGAATTATTTGTGAGTACAATTAGTAGCAGACATGTTTATTTTTGCGTCTACATATGTGTAGCAATATAATTTAGTCGCCGCAAGATATTTATCAAGGTAGTCATTTGGCTACCTCTGAATTTAAGACTGTAGAGAAATTAATGTGATCGTTTTCGCCGCAACTTTGAGGCCTGGGTTGGTAAACATTGCATAACTCCAAGGGCAACACCTGTGCTCCATGAAGCGTGTCAGTGTATTCGTATGTACTGCTCTGTGGGGTATTCATCTGGATTGAATAACAGACACTGTACAAGTGCATGCAGGTAAGAAGTGAACATGGCACTTATCAGATATCAATATAGGTGTTGACATAGCAGAAGTGTTCTCAAAGAAAACAGGCATACAACAAAGTAGTCAAATCTGTAAACTTGGTACACATCAAAGATTTATCAGCTCACATGGTAGTGGGTGGTCGTTTTCAAATTGAATATTGAAAAACTAGAAAAAATCAAGTTCTCATGCAAAACAAAGAAAGCAGTGATCGGTCTTCTATTTCTAAGACTGCTACCAGATCTCGTTTTCTAGCTTGGATGTCATTTCAAAGATTACTTTGGACGAAAGTGAAACTAGTGAGTGAGTGAGTATGGTTTTACGCCGCTTTTAACAATATTACAGCAATATCACCGCGGGGGACACCAGAAATGGGCTTTACACATTGTACCCATGTCGGGAATCGAACCTGGGTCTTCGGCTTTAACCACTAAGCTACCCGACCGCCCCGAAAGTGAAACTAAGCATTAAGGGTATATGTGATTAAGGGTATATGTGTTTATGTGAAAATGTGATTTTCTGCAAGATTGGTACACGTCGGCGCCAAGAAGGCATTTCTGCAAATCATTCCTCAAGTTTTGAATTGTGAAATATAACAGGGACTGATATACCTGTTCATGAATCAGGAATAAAGAAGTGTTGGGCAGTTACCATGGTTACTGTATCACGATACTTAAATAGAGGCAATTTTGCATGAATTTTTATATTTCAGAGTCTTTTCCTGACAGACTTGTCTAACTCCCCGTTCCTAAAATTACACAGGAAAACAGAAGTGTTTCCATACAAAGGGTTTGTATGTAACAAGTAATATTAAATGTGGCTGGATATGTAGACTTGTGGTCAAAGTCGCAGACAGAAACAAGTTCATGGCATTTATGGCGTTCAACTCCACACCATGGGGCATAATCTCAGCATACAGAAAAAGTCAACATCAGTCGTAACCCACTGTGAACAGGTATGTCTTCAGTTTGGACTTAAACTGAGTCAGTCTGGATAGTTCTCAAGTGGTCAGGTATCTCATTCCACTCACTAGCAGCACCTACTTGAAATAATCAGAGGACGAAGGATTTCAACTTCCAGTGTGGAATATGCAACAAAGGTGTCTATTAGGGCTGGGACGAGTCCAAATCTACTACCGGGTACCCACCCCCCTATTACCCAGCCTTACCCTGGTACCCACTCTAGGTCTCAGGAGATGTCTCAAAATGTCTGATTGGGAACATTTTTAGCATAGCCCTGGCAAAGCGTATTTAGCTACAGTGATCCCTCGCTATTGGGCTCTTCGATAAAGCGCTACCTCAGTTACTACGCGCGGTATCGCATGGCTCCCAAAATTTATGTACACTTTTAATACTGAGAGTTTTACACAGCAGTGATTGTATTGTTGTTCGTTGTTCATTTGCACATAACGCTTCTCATTGCATAATCAACCGTTTATCGCTGAATGGAGTTCTAATAATTTGTTTGAAAACATCAGCTGCAAGTCCCGGAAATACGATTGTTCTACTAGTTAACTTTTCACACTATACATCCTTTGATCTCAGAATCGCATGCATGCAATAAAAGAGAACCACAAGCGAAGTGTATTTTCTTAATTAATGGGCAATCCAATTTCAGGCGATACTGTCAACTCACATGTAGTTTCTGTCACAACACGGCTGTCATTCCTTTTGGTTCGGATCAAGTAACCGTATGAAACCAATTAATCTGGCTTGAATGTGTATCTATATTTGCATGAATGTGTATGAATGCGTGTAGTGCTGGTCAAAACTCTTGTTTTCCGTATTTTAAGCAACATGACCAATCAATGCCACTGAATCACTCTGTACTTGCGTAATGAATTGTGATTGGCTCTTCACTCATAGCGTCTGTTGCTACCATTATCGATCGATATTTTCATGTAAGTAGACTACATTCACATTGAATGTGACAGTTAAGGCTTGTAAATAATAACAAACGGCGAAAACATAATGGATATATATTTTTACACTATGAACGATAAACAACTTGTATCATTGCAATGTGCGAGACAAGGCGAAGATCGTGAGATTGGCCGAGCGCGCTCCCCCGCCTCGACCTCGGTTGAACGGCTCATCGTCTATAACGCCCACCAATTATTTGGACCCCATTGGTAGCGTTGTAGCGAGGGACCACTGAACATGTATTAAACAATCTGGTCATTCATACACTGAAGTTGAATTAAGTTATATCTATATTCAACCATATGAAAAATCAGAAGGAATGGGTGAATAGTCAGAAAGAAATGCGAACATTTGTCACTTATAGTGGAACCATAGAGTTCTAGATAATTTTGTCATTAAACAATACATCACGTGACTAACCACGGGTCCGGGTAGTCCTGTGGGTACCCAGGTCCTACTCAGTACCCACCCGACCCGGATACCCGAGTTACCCGTCCCAGTCCTAGTGTCTACTTGGAGTGTATTGACTGGGGCTGGGGCTAGTCCAAATCTACTACCTGTGTACCGGACCCCCTATTATCTGACCTAGGTCTCAAGAGATGGGAACAAAATGCCTGATTGGGAATTTTTCTACTGCAGCCCTATCAAAAACTATTTAGATACATGTATCAAACAATCAGATCATGCAAACAATGAAGTTGACCGAAGCTTTATCTTTTACTCAAACATATACAAATCGTCGGGAATGTGTGCATCGTTAGAAAGAAATGCGAACAGGACCAGATCGACCTGAGTACCTGAGTTACCCGTCCCAGCCCTAGTATTGACAGAACAGTACTGTGGGTACCCGGGTCCTACTTAGGACCTGACCGACCTGAGTACCTGAGTTACCTGTACCAGCCCTAGTATTGACAGAACAGTACTGTGGGTACCCGGGTCCTACTCAGGAGCCGACTGACCCGAGTACCTGAGTTACCTGTCCCAGCCCTAGTATTGACAGAACAGTACTGTGGGTACCCGGGTCCTACTCAGGACACGACTGACCCGAGTACCCAAGTTACCTGTCCCAGCCCTAGTATTGACTGGTGGGTACCCGGGTCCTACTCAGGAGCCAACTGACTCAAGTACCCGAGTTACCCGTCCCAGCCCTAGTATTGACAGAACAGTACTGTGGGTACCCGGGTCCTACTCAGGAGCCGACTGACCCGAGTACCCGAGTTACCTGTCCCAGCCCTAGTATTGACAGAACAGTACTGTGGGTACCCGGGTCCTACTTAGGACCTGACCGACCCAAGTACCCAAGTTACCCGTCCCAGCCCTAGTATTGACAGAACAGTACTGTGGGTACCCGGGTCCTACTCAGGAGCCGACTGACCCGAGTACCCGAGTTACCTGTCCCAGCCCTAGTATTGACAGAACAGCTCTTGGAGATCAGCTGATGCTGTTCCATGTATACATTGGCAGAGTGAAAAGATCTTGAAGCCAACTAATGACTTTATGAAATCAAGTTAACTTACATAAACCAACACAAAATGAGCTGTCAATGTCATGTATACATGTCAAAATGTCCCAAGGTTTGACATAAAGTAATAACAAGATATCATAGAACCCAGACAGGGTCATTAAATGTGACACAGAACTGTGAGTCTAGAACAGACCGGATGCAGAAAAATAGAATATGTTGAGTCCTGAAGGACAAACAATAATATTCATTGTACCAAATTCTTGAAAAAAAATAGAAAGGTCCTGTAACAAAAGTAGTTATCACATCTTACAGAAAACTACACCACTTTTATTACTTTACAGAGCCCTCAAATTTGGGACCCTTGAAATCAATTATTGGGGGGTCCCGTGGACCCTAACTTTGAACTTCAAGGTGAAACCTAGCCTTGCTCCAAGGCTTACTGAATTATAAGTCCATGGGTGTACAGTAATTCTATCCTTACAATAGGCAAGTCTAGATTTAAAGTGGAAGGATGTCTTTTTTAGGGACCACTTAATCTTATTATTCATATAATCTAGAAATTATGATTTAAACTAATAATTATTTCCATAAAGACGTGCAAGTTGGGGTGAAACCCTGCCCCGCCAAATTCTCGGCCAAACTGAGAGGAGAAGACAAATAAACTCACCCTGATGGTGAACAGATGTCCGATTCACCTTCATCCTCGTACTCGTCTTCTCCGTCTTCCTCCTCCGCATCTTTCTCCGTGATCTTCTTCGGGACAGCAGGAGCACCATCTGCTTTTGGTCTCTGCTCATGAATAATTTCTTCTGCTTTGGACCCCTTTTTATAATAAACTGTTCCAGTCACAGTATTAGTTACAGGCATTTTCCTCCCATTGGCACTCCCCAAAGTACTCATGTCTGAGTTCATTGTTGTTGTCGCTGTCAAACTTTGCGGAGATCTGCTGGAGTGTTTGTTTGACAGGGTAGGCTTCAAAGCTACCGGAACCGTTTGCGGGGGAACAGATCTGGTAGGAGAGCTTGCTTTGGCATGAGAAATAATAACACTACGACTACTTGGCTTGTTGTCTGAATCTTTTGGGCTATCAGAATCTGTGTCGCTCACCTCACTATAAGGTCTGGTTGGTGTGTAATTCAAATTTCTGACCTTTTTAATTTCAGTTGCATGACCTGACTTGTGTCCGCGAACATCTTGTTTTCCGACGGGAGGTTTTTTTAACAGCTTGTCATGTCCATTTTGTAACCCGGATTTCAAATCATAACCATTTTCTAAATGAACTTCATTTCTGTTAAGATCATGAAAAATCTCTGTTGCAGCTGTTTTCTCAAGTTTTTGTTTGTTTTTTCTAGCCGACGTCGCTTTTTTAGTGGCTTGATCAAACTTCTCTTTCATGGCAGCACTCTGTGGTCTCATGAAGGAATTCAGCTGCAACACTCCATTGCTGGCATTACTGATGCTGGAGACTGATGATGTGCTTGGATTCTTCTTAACAGTATGGCCAAGGATATCTTCAGCAACCTCTTTTGCACTAACCGGACGTGCATACGGGTTTCCATTTGGTTTAGCTTGCTGTACTTGTGCACAACTATTGGAGGACACTGACGAAGCATTGGAGCGAACTGGTGATAGACTATGATTGGATCTGCGACTTTGAAGAGCACCGTTAACAGCTGCCTGTCGGGATGGTGGTGATGGTGAACTTTCTCGTTGTCGCTCTCTTCTCAGGGAGACAACATCAGACTGGCTGAATAGATGGACAGGCTTTGTAATCGTTGTGTTATATTTGAGCACAGGTTTCTGAGCTTGTTGCCTAAGAGGCAGCTGTTTTCGTAGTGACAGCTCCTCTAAGCTAGCGGTTAGCTTGCTCAGATTCAACTCACTGTCACCCATTTTGTGTTGTAAAAATTATTTCCTAAAGTAACATCATGGTGTCATCTGCCCATCATTTCGGTCTGCTTGCTTACTGAATGATTACTTCAATGTAGGATGGCCCTGAAATAAACATGATGAAACAAAAATAAACAAGTGGTTGCACTTTGATTGTGACATCATGGTAACCAATGGCGTCAAAATGGTCTGCAAAGCATTGTGAGGCAATTTCATTGCAGCGATATCTACAATGTAGATATCGCTTGATGTCACCCAAGTGATATCTCCTGTGAGAGCCAGTTTGGGATGATAAATTGTGGTGTCATTTTTGTTATTCCGATCTGTTTTTCTCTTTTTTCAAGTCTGAAATGGACCCATATGTTGGTACTTTCCCAATACATTTTTTACAAGTTCAAAGTCATCCACAATTTTGTGGGACATGCATCAACGAAGTCAGCGAGCCTGACCACCCGATCCTGTTAGTCTCTTCATACGACAAGAATAGTCACCTTTTAAGGCAAGCATGGTTTGCTGAAGACCTATTCTACCCCACATCTTTACGGGTCGTAAAATGTAATAGGAACAAGTGCACACAATCTTGAAGTACCTATAGTTTGATAACATCAAGCCCAAGAAAGTATGACAGCGTTAGAAATTGGCACTAGTCCTATAGTCCTTGCCAAACTGTCCAATAGTTAAGGTATCATAAGGACTAGTAGAAATTTTTCCCTTTTAGGAATTTTGCTATATCATAGTATGTGTTATCATTAGGGATGACTATTGGTCTGTAAATCATTATTGCAATAACTATTGATATTGAAAGAAACTATTGCGATAACTATTGATATTGCAAGCAACTATTGCGATAAATAGCGATAGTTTTCAGTGTATCATTTTAGATGGATTTTAGAGTTGAATTATACCTTGGAACTGAAGTTTCCTTTGAATGTGATAACCATTTCAAAAAACAAAAAGTTTGAGATATGACTGATTTGTTTTTTCTTTACCCTAATAATTTAGGAAATACAAACTTCCACATTACCATGCGTAAATTACTACCACTCATGATCAAAAGAAAAACAGATTTAACAGCATTGCATGTAATCGAAACTATCAATGTTCCTTACTGAAATCGATACTACTGATCGGAAACGGATTTAACAATCGATTTATTGACTTTAAGTGCTTACCAATAGCAATATATCGATATTTCGATTTATCTCGACACACCTAGTTATCATTATAACGACTAGTGGGCTAAAACAGTTAATTTCTATCGCTGCAAATTACACATAACACAGGGATTAGTGATGCAGTAAGGTCATAAACTTTAGAGGTATTGAGTGTGTTCAAAGTCAATGTTGTGTGGACAAGTAAGGGTCAGTCAGACATTGGGTGCAAGTAGACATAAATCCATCTCCCCAACATGCCCAAGGCAAGAGAGTTAACTGACTTTAAAAGTCCAGTTTCCACCCTTGCGATTTTGATTGGACTATGCATAGACTCGTTAGTCCAGCCAAAATGTAACTCCATAATACCAGCCTAGTTCGGCAAGGACTGGACTTTTATCGTCAGTTAACTCTATTGCCTCTGGAAGGTGACATAAATCTTAGGTTGCATTTTCAACAACAGGTTGTTCTGGTGCATGGTTTATACAACCAAATCGAGCCCTGATCAGGCTGATAATAGACACATTACACACAGGAAGTTGGTCACGAATAGTTTCGCTTTTCGATCACAGGAATCAGTTCCTAGTTTCTGACTTTCATAATTTCAGTTGGACTTGTCCCAGACGTCAACTTTGCCAACAAGATGAATATATTTGCTTGATTTTGAAAAACCACAATGCACCAATTTTCCAAAGGTATTGTGATACATATTCAATAGTATTTCAAATCTTGGTATACTGGTAATAGCACGCACCTCTACAAATTTAGCACAAATATAGAAGAATGACCCATCAAACAGTGATAAAATGATGAAAATGGCCTGATGCCATTTGTCCCTAGCAAAATCAATGGACGTATATATTAGCATAACTAGGGCTGCAACGAATACACTATGAGGGGAATACGATTCGTATCACAAATATAGGGTAACAAATTCATGAATACAATAACAAGTCAGCAGTTGATGTATTATTCGTAATATTCAGTGAAACATGAACAAAATAACTTATTTGACATGGTTTGTTAATTATAAATATACAGTGGTAGAAACTAACATTTTTCGTCTACTAGTCCTCATAAGTCACTTGCATATTCAGTGAATTGAAGCGTATCCATTCATGAATATAATTCGTTTTTCGTGGCCACCAACGCTGATATATTATACATTTATATACTGCACTCCAGGTAATACTAGTATCAGCTCAAATGCTGTCAAATTGAATATTATAAGAGTGTTGTCTTTGAAGAAATCTATGCATATAATATGTTCTTATGGATGTTTTTATGTACAATCTAAATGCACATGGTTGCATATTCATAAATATTCCATTTTGGTGGCCACGAAAAACGAATTATATTCATGAATGGATACGCTTCAATTCACCGAATATGCAAGTGAATCATAACGGCCATAGTATATATACCATGAGATGATAGCATTTGATATGTTTCTTTTTACCCTTACATCCATAAAATGCTAATGTCAAAGTTAATTAAGCATAAGGGAATTATCCTTAAAACATAAGAAATGATAACTGAGTTTTGTTATTTTCACTTCACCATGCTTTGTCTACATAACCACCAGACCAACATCTAAGGTATATTTGTATAAGCCAAAGTCGACTTCGGAGAAATATACGCCAAGAATAAAACTTCAAGTCCCTGTAACAAAATTGTCTACTCGTGGAATCTAACTACCATAGAAAGAAACAACTTTAAAAAAACATCCAACTTAATGTTTACAATGTGAAGATGGTAAAAAATACATAGTTTCCATCAAAGATTTACTACTTAAAATTCCCATCCAAACCAAAGCAATACAAACTAACAGTTTTAGTCCACTTATCCTTATAATAATAACAAAACCCTTAAAAATTGCAAATTTCTACTCTGTACTCATAACAGATCAATCACTTGATTGTCTGGTCCAGACTCGATTATTTACACTTACAGACAGCCGTCATATAGCTGGAATATTGCTAAACAACAAACCAACCAACCAACTCCTAACAGCATGAACAGCGATAAACAATCTGACAAACAAATGAGTTTATAGTCATGAACGATCAGATTAAACAAGTGACACCAAAACAAAATAACAGGGAACACTTGGCATCATCATAAATATTGAGTGTTGGTACAATACACTTGTAGAGATTGGTGTTTCTACACTCATGCATTGGGTTAGCTGCAGTAACCATCTCCCGCTGCTGGTCACTAAAAACAATTTTCGATACTGCCTTGTCTCTATACAGAGCTTCATACTGTTCCATAGTGTTTTCCTAACAGATCCCTGATCCAAATCTGCATTGCACTTTATATGCTTCAGCAAAGTTCATGCATCATGATCTAACTACAAATGCTACAAGATTCTCTTCCCTAAGGCATATGTCTTCAAATACGAGTACTAAACTTATATTTTAGAATGTGCAACAATATATTTACTTATTGAGTTGAAAATGGGTTTGTAAAGATTTTTGGGCCAAACATTTGTACCGTCTCTAACTCCAACCCCACAAGCACATGGAAAGGTTGTATGATTGAAAACATAAGTATGTGTACATATCTGAAGGCAAGTGTTTTAGGTAGGGATTGTGCTGCAGTTTTGGGGGTATTATCATGATTTATGTACACTATTGCATGGTTGTCAATACAGAATCAGGAAAACATTAAGTGACATCAGTAGTGACAAGTCAATAACAAAAACATTTATCGGGAGCAGCACAGTGATACGGTTACCACAGCTAACACTGGGTTTGCAATGTGTTAGTGTGTATATGTATTTGTCATCTTATGGTTATGTTTACCATGTTAACTCCATGTCCTGTGTATCAATTATTTGATACAATGCAATAATGATAAAAATGCTTCAGAGACATGTGGTATTGATGTGATAGTCCTCAGTGAGGACTTAGATCTTGTTTGGACACTACAAATTTTTACAGTTATTTTTAACATGGTTAACCTTCAAGACATAGAATGTTATATGATTTATAGGTTTGGTGTTGAAGTCTAGATTGGCATGTTTTCATAAAGTTACATTCACACATGGTCTTGGCTTTGTTTGTCAACAATGATTACAGCATTTCCAATGTGATGCTATCTGACTGCAGAGTTTCCGACAGAAATCTGAAAAAGCCTGCTCTATTTCCAGATATTTTCAACAAGATATAAAATTGTGCCTAAATATAAATGGTATAGGTCTCAGTCCAAACACCATGAACGAGGAAATGTATAAAAAAAATGTCAGACGTCAGTAATAACTGTTGGCTAGGAATGTTTACAAGACAACGTGTTGATATGTTGATCAACAAATACTCAAACAGAATAGGCCTGTCAGATCAGATCTAGAGCGTTACAAAAATGTTCCTAGCTGATATCAGTCACTCGGCAAACACCATATCGATATGATATATTCTTACAAAGTGATAAGTATTAGCCCAAGTCAAGTTGATCGCCCGAACAGACTACGCTAGCGCTTAAATCAACTGATCGATTGAGAATGAGTGTGGAGAGCATGCTGTCACACAACCTGAATATTTCTTCTCGTTTGAAACATGACCCAACAACCAATTTTGTCGCAAATTGTGTTTAAAGTGACCGATTTAAAGAAACATGAATGATGTGCCCGATACGTACCTGTTTCTGATTATTCAACTCATTTTCTCCCATTGAAAACCCCCGGTTCGCACCTACATCCATCGATCCTCCATTGACAAACAACAGCAGATGCTAAGAAACACAGGGGACTTGAGAATGTAACCAATGAAAATTACTGTTTCATTATAACGTCCAATCAGTTTTCTCGATACATGCATTGTGATTCCCGCCAGTAAAGGGACGTTACTCTCAATAACGACCACGAATGCAGACCACTTAAATCGCACCGGCGATGGCCACAATACCACGCCAGTGAAATAAAGAAGCTTTTGGTTTGAATGCGATCGTCACCAACATCTCCAACGTTTTATTAAAAGGTTTTCAGACCTATTCAAAATAAAAATGGACATACTTATACATTTCGTTTAACCATTTTCATATACCTTACGTTGCTTAGTAACGTTAGAAATAGGATGGCCTTAACACATATATGGGGCGGTCGGGTAACGTAGTGGTTAGAGCGTTAGCTCGTCACGCCGAAGACCCGAGTTCAATTCCCGACATGGGTACAATGTGTGAAGCCCATTTCGGGTGTTCCCCGCCGTGATATTGCTGGAATATTGCTAAAAGCGGCGTAAAACCATACTCACTATTAACACATAAAGCAAATTGACCATTAAACGAAGGATTTCTCCCATCTTTTAAACCCTTGAAAACTGAAATAGACAAGGTTGACTGCATTTCTAAGTACGACCTCCACGAAAAAATTATTCAAAATCTGTAAGCACTGTTCTGAATATCTCTATTTTTGTTTAGGGCTACTGTGGGAAAGATGCAAGCGTAAAGACTGCGTAAGAAACTAAACCAGCTCGGAGAGCGGTTCACGGAATACTATTAGTAAACGCACAATAACACTATGACTGGTATACATAACATGCCTAAGACTATTGCTTCGTGTTATATGCCAGGGTGTGTGTTTAAGATTATTACATCGTACTGTGCGGAAACCTAATCTGTTGTTCCTACACCACATACGCAAAAGTGTTCTATTGTGGTGTACAAAGACTTGCACAAGTCCCTAAGCCAAAACGAATTAGTTTAAATCATATTTTTGTCGATTATATGAATAATAAGAAATGGGCCATATAAGAGACTGGCGTCCTTAGACTTGCACAAGTCTCTAAGGCAAACATTATTAGTTTTAATCATAATTTCTAGATTCTATAAATAATAAGAACAAGCGGTCTCTATAATAGACTGGCGTCCTTATACTGTCCACATATCTAGACTTGCTTATTTTAAGGATAGAATTATAATACACCCATGGACTTCATTCAGTACAGCCTTGGAGCAAGGCTATGGTGTATATACCATTTTATCAGAACATGCCCGTGCTCGTGGCTTTCACCAAAGCGGAAAACGTATGTATCACTTCGGGTTTTCATTCCACATCAGCTGCCACACAGTTATATAAGTTAAACTACTGTATAAAGCGGCGTAAAAAACACCTCACCCACAAGAGTGAGTGAGTGAGTTAAGATTTAACGTCACATCGGCAGTATCACCCACAAGAACGATGGGACATCAAGTTCGATGGTGTGGGTGCCATTACCAGTCCCTCTTAGACACTGAGATCAATGCCATGTGAGACGCTACCGTAACATGTCTGTGGGGTAATTAAATTACTTGATTAATTTCATCTCAAACTTACTGTGGTATCAGATCGCGCGAAAGCGAAATACGTAAGTACGTCTAGATATCCCGGCAACCATCGTGAACTGGTCTCATTTCGCCGTAGAAATATAAAGTTCTGATTAAAATAGCGAAATGTTATTATGTTTCCATCAAACTCACACTTGAGAATCGCAAGTCGCTAGATGCATTCCCGTATGTGTCGACCAAGAGACATTTAGACCTGGCTGTATGGATAGATCGTGTATGGATTGTGAGTGAGTTGGGTTTAACGCCGCTTTTAACAGTATTCCAGTTATATCACGGCGTGTCAGCTTAATGTGGGAGGGAAGCCCCAAGTGATGCAGGTCTCAGACGTTTACCACTTCGGTGAAACCCACGAGCATGGGTATGGTGCTGACAAAACTAGAAACATAATCGGGGCCAACCGGGATTCGAACCCACAATCACAGGTTTCTGGCGTGCCCAAGGGACGCAATTCTGCACAGCGAATCGTGGCGCCCTAGACGACTTGGCCACCCGTGCCCCCGAACCTTGCGTTTAGACCAATGAGCACATTTAATTACACAACTATAGCAACATGCTCAGACTTATTGCCTTTGCTGAATCTTTTTATCAAGTTTCATGTCTGCAGTGTTTTTACTAGGGCTGGGACGGGTAACTCGGGTACTAGGGACGGGTGGTTCCTGCGTAGGACCCGGGCACCCACAGGACTACCCGGACCCGTGGTTAGTCACGTCATATATTGTTTAATGGCAGAATTATCTAGAATTTCCTATTTCTTGAGACCTTCAGCGGGTACCCGGATAGGGTCGGATAATAGGGGGATGGGTACGCGGGTAGTAAATTTGGACTCGTCCCAGACATAGGTTTTACCTTATACGGTTAGAAATACTAAAGACGAAGATTCAGATATCTTCTTGGAAATATATCTATTTTTAAGATAATTATATATTCTTCCCTTTGCTAGAAGTCTAACACAATCAACGTAAACGTCAATGACCCATGACACTCATGGCCATTGGTTGAATAGTGAATAATATGGGATGTTTTTCCAGGTGCGTATTTTAGTTTGCTTTTTGTTTAACGCCGCACTCAAACAATATTCCAGCGTTATGACGGAGGTCTGTAAATAATCGAGTCTGGACCAGACAATCCAGTGATTACCATCATGAACATCGATCTAGGTAATTGGGATGCGATGACGTGCATCAACCAAGTTAGCGAGCCTGACCGTTAAACTAGTCGTCTCTAACAAGTATAGACGCCTTTTTAAGGCAAGCATGGGTTGTTGAAGACCTATTTTAACCCGGACCTTCACGGGTGCGTATTTTAGCAATTGTGTTGTATATTTTACGCTAATATGCAGCTTAGCTCTGTAATCAAATACAATACTGGCGCGGGACTTTGCTTAAGGCCTACTGGGGTATTGAAGCTTGAGCTAATTAGCCTTCCTTGACAGTTTGAATCGAGTCGCTCAAACAGCTCTTGGTCACTTGTATAATAAGCTATGACTACCCTAATTACACATAGGCGATGTTTGACACATGTGACACTAATTAAAAGGTATTGTACTAGACTGAAAATTGTCAACAAGGCATTTTATATTTTGGGCAAATGTAATTCACGTCAACGCTGATATTCTGTACGTGTAAAAAATTAACATGCGATAAGTTACTTACATACCAAGTCATTGTGACATGCCAGAACGGTCTGGCGCAAAATCCACGCCATTAAAGGCTTCAAACGTCACACAAAAAAACCAACATTAATAATTCAACCAACCCTGCCGAAAAGGCAAATAACCTCGCAAACCACTTCTCGGCCAGAAGAAGCAACAGCAACTTCAGCCAAAAATTCCAACATAAACTAAAAACGGAAAACAAACCCACCAAAGAACCAAATAATAATAACCTAGAAATAAACCAACCTTACACAATGGAAGAGCTACTATACGTCCTCCAAAATAGGAAAAAGGGAACAGCCCCGGGATTAGACCTAACTTCCTACCAAATAATAAAAAAAACTCCCCGATAAACTACTCCAGGCACTACTCAAACTATACAATCTCATCTATCAAAACGGACAGGTACCTACTCCCTGGAAACAGGCCCTAGTCATCCCAATCCCTAAACCCGATAAAAAAGCTAATCAGGCTAACTCCTATAGACCAATTTCCTTAACTTTAAACCTATGTAAAGTAATGGAATCTATGGCCAAAAACAGACTACAACACTACCTAACTCAAAATAACATTATAATCCAAGACCAAAGCGGCTTCACTCCTGGCTGCTAAACCTTAGATAACCTCGCCCGATTAGAGCAGGACATTAAGACAGGACAACTCAACAAACAATATACAACAGGCATTTTCTTAGACTTCTCCAAAGCATTCGACATGGTATGGCACAACGGGCTAATACAAAAACTAAAAAAAATAGGACTAAAAGGTCAAATATTAAACTACATCCAGGACTTTCTAAACGATCGTAAAATAACCGTGGGTATAGACCATACGCTATCGGACCAGTGTCCCCTAGAAAATGGCACTCCCCAGGGCAGCATTCTCAGCCCAACCCTCTTCAATATAATGATAAATGATCTATTCGAGGGCCTATCCCCTAAAATAAACACATCTAAATTCGCGGATGACGGAGCCCTATGGATCCGCACTAAAAACATTAAAACGGCAGAAAACTTAATCCAAAAATCTCTAAATAAAATTCAACAATGGGCAGACAAATGGGGCTTCTCCCTTAACTCAGATAAAACAACAGGAGTAGTATTCAAACATAAAAACATGAAACCTGCCTACCCAATCCTCCAGCTAAACAACCAAACAATCAAATTCCAAAAACAAACCAAATTCTTAGGACTCATTTTCGATCAACACCTCACCTGGGAGGCTCACGTCCAAAACCTAAAAACTAGATGCAGCAAAGACCTTAACACACTAAAATGTCTCACCGGCTCTAACTGGGGAGCCTCCAAAGATACCCTCCTCTCACTCTATACAGCGCTAATTAGATCAAAACTAGACTACGGCTGCGCAATATACAATACCCTAAACAACTCTCTATCTAAAAAACTTGACTCAATACAATACCAAGCCCTTAAACTAATTACACGCACTCAACATGGCACCTTACAGGGGAAATGCCACTAAATCTACGCAGGGAACATCTAAGCCTTAATTTCTGGGCCGCGTCCCAAACAAACCCTCTCATCCAAAACTTAATTAACCAACACATTAGACCAAGAAACCAAGCTCTAGAAATATTCCAGCTATATGACGGCGATCTGCAAATAATCGAGTCTGGACGACACGATCCAGTGATTGACATCATGAGCATCGATCGACGCAATTGGGATACGATGACATGCATTAACCAAGTCAGCGAGCCTTACCACCCGATCCCGTTAGTCGCCTCTTACGACAAGCATTTTCGCCTTTTACGGCAAGTATGGGTTGCTGAAGACCTATTCTACCCCGGAGTCTTCACGGATCTCGCAGTCCTGTAAGACGGTTGTTAACCTCGCGATAGATGCTTTTATGAGGAGGAGGAGGAGCAGTACCAGTACCTCTCGGAGACGTGTTAAGTCTTATCTTAGTGATATGATATTTACATCATCAAATAATTATTTCTAAAGGTATTCACTTCTCCATATGGAAGTTAATGTGTATCTAAGTAGAAAAAGGTAATTATTTATTTGATCTTTGAACTCAGAGGATAAAGTCTGTTAGGACTGATCCACTACAAAAGGTAACCCTTATATGTCTTTATAAGCCATTCCTACTAATTGACAAATTGGGTAAGTGACAAATGGTGAACCTAAATTAACTTTTGTTCAGCGTTCTGCCTAGACTATAACATCTAGTCTCTGAAATGAACATATCGTAGAGACAAAATATAGTTGTTAAATTATCTTTATAAAAAAATAATAAAAAAGGAGCCAAGAGACTCTCTTCATTTTCAGAACTAGACTTGCATCGGATCAAAAACACTATCAATGGGAATATATGATAAAGAACATTTATTGACGAATCAATTTACTACAAGCAACGTTTTTGTAGTTAAACAGTCACTGCATAATATCCAAACCACTCATGTTATCGTCACGTATCTCATGCTGTTATAAGCACTTGTGACCAACTCGTGCCATTTCGTTAGAACCGATTAGACTGGTTCCAATTCGTTCCCGCGACAGACTGGGAGGCAGAGCAAGAGCATCGACACCAAGTGGAGCTTCCATGAATCAGTCTAGAAGCCGATGTGCTAGACAGGGTCCTAACAACGATATCCCGTTCTCGGAGCTCGCTGCTGGGAAGGAGCTTGTACGCTTGTGGTCAAAGGGGAACAACTCATACTGTATAAAATTACGTCCCTTTTCCCGGAAGTCTGAACGTAAACACCAGCCAGAAGTGAAACGGAACCCCGAAGTCTGCTGTCCATATTGGACTGTAGACACTTAATAATTTTCATCAATAAGGTACTGCGATTGATGGTGATTAGTTGGCAATTTCTTTCTTGAGTTATGGGCGTGGACTAAAGTTTTGATGATTCCTCGAGATTTACATATATGCCTGTAATTGTTCAGTAACCAAGCCAGCTCGTGTTATGGGTTTTCGAGCCCCTAAGACGTATTTATCATTACGTGTCGAATAACAATCCCTGTACACTAAAATTAAGTTTTACCTTAAAGAAAACGTATTTCTATTAACACTTGGATGGTCAAATGACCATGTCTTGTTAATTTTATAGCGATAATGCCTCGCTGAGCGAGACGAGTCGATCAGGCACTATCTTGTTAGTAATGTTACAGTCACAACTCTCCATTACAGTCAAATTAAAAATAGATGCTCAACATGGTCAGTCACATGACATTACAGACAGGAAGTTTACAAGCCCCAGCTGATACACAATCGGTATCACCAGGTCAAGTTTGATTAAAAACAATGTGCATTTGTGAAAAAGTATTAAATCTACCTCTACATTTAGTGTTGCTATTTGTCAAAAACATGCAAGTGTTGAAAAAAAGAGTCTAATTTTCATTCATATTTATGACCCATGAAGATCCATGGTAGAATACGTGTTCAGCAACCATTGCTTGTTGTAAATGGCGACTGCTTGTAAGAGGCGACAAACGGGATCGGGTTGTCAGGCTCGCTGACTTGGTTGATGCATGTCATTGTATTCCAATCATGTAGATCGATGCTCATGATATCAATCACTGGATTGTCTGGTCAAGATTCCATTATTTACAGACTGCAGGCATATTGCTGAGTGCAGTGTTAAACAACAAACAAACCATACATTTTGTAATGATTTTGATTCCAAGTCTTCAGTCAGCCCCTTGTCATCCCTTCACTGTGTAACAGACTGCAAATTTGTCATGAATCCCAGCCTCATAAAGTGTAGAATAGGTCTTCAGCAACCCATGCTTGTCGTAAAAGGCGACTAAAGGGATCGGGTGGTCAGGCTCGCTGACTTGGTTGATGCATGTCATCTATCCCAATTGAGTGGATCAATGCTCATGATATTAATCACTGGATTGTCTGGTCCAGACTCGATTATTAACAGACCGCCGTCATATAGCTGGAATATTGCTGAGTGTGGCGTTAAACAACAAACCAACCAACCAACCCAGCCTCGTAAAACTAAATGTCTGTTCGGTCTAGTAAGCTCTTCTTATGATAACACTAAAATCTACTGAAAATAATCTTAAGAGCCATGTCCCTCTTATGTTTTGCAGTCAGAAGCAAAACCATGTACACATGTGGACTTCAATTGTAGCATATTTTAGTATACATTACAGCCTTTGCTCAAACCATTATGCTTTCAAATGTTTAGAGAATGTTTAAAAGAACCTCCAATAACATGAAGTAAGCTATGGCATGTCACGTTGGTGTGAAATCAGTTGAATGTCAAGGATTTGTCTGCCATGCTCACTTTAATTTAAAAGTTTTCATAATTGTAAGATGTCCTGTAGAGGTGATCAAGTGGAAGTGTTTCGAAATGATAAATATCCTGTATGAGGACTGAAGATTGTATTTAGCAAGACAACTGTTATAATTTAAATTCTGAAAAGACCCCAAGCTGCGGAGGTCAACAAGTCCAGACGTGGAAACTGATCCCCCCAGCATCCTTGCTTTGCAATTTATATATCCAATGTTGCATACACTGGTTGTCAATTCTGACTCAATCTCTGATTGACAAGGTCGACGCCATGTTTGGTTGTAAACACTGAAAGTAATACCTACTTGACCTTTTATATTTACATATGTATCCCTAAATGACCCATTGTTTCATCCATTGGCTTCATCCTGGTGAGAAACACACCCATTATAGGATACATATGTTTATGAGGTCTTTCTGGCAAAAGCCATTTCTTGACTCTGAAGGTCACTTGTTACGAACCAAGGATACACGCATCTCTTTAACTCACATTGAGATTTTATGATAGGATATACACCAAACTAGGCCCACACGGTCAACAGCAGGAGGGCCAAGGTCACCAGAATTGAGAAAGGACATCATCATGACAAGTGTTGCAGAACCTCTGTTTATCTCTTCATTTGTGTTTATTTTATGATACAGAGACTGAGACTCCCCATTGTTTGATATGCTTCCCCCCACCCCCCACCCCACCCGATCCCAACCCACCCACCCACATGGTGAAGTTGAATGTATAAAGAAAGTTCAATAGTCTTGCCTGTCAACAGTATAAGGATCTATACCGAGGCGCAGCCTTTACAGTAATTAAAGAAGTGGTTATCCATAAATTGTGTATACTTTGTCATCCGTCAACATCTAAGTAATGCCTATCAAACATTTTAATTGGCAAACTGGGAAATATAAATAATTTGTCAAGAGATGGTTATTATTTTCGTTAATTCAGAGGTATGTTAATTTTAAGATTACACTCACTGCAATAACATTAAACTAAGCATCAAAGCTTATCAGTGAAATACAAGTCACTTCTTCAAAGCCTTGACATTAGCTATAACTACAGCATGGGTTGGGAAAGGTTTAGTTCCAACAGGGACCATTTTATATGGTCTCTGGTTCCAATTTGGGAATTTTAACAAACATTTGCAGGAGACTTTGGGCTGAATATCAGCCTCTGAACACATCTAGATGAATCCCACAAATGTATATTCACCCAATGCCTCTGTTGCTATGATACTCTGTTTTTGAAAACCACTGGGCCAGGCACAAAAATATAAAAAGAATTTGAAAAATCTCCTTTTTTGTGTGTATGATCAGAAGGGTGAAATTAGAAAACAGTTTTGAAATAATTATGTTGCCCTTGGAGTCTTCTTTGAAAGATTTAAATACTATGGATGGGTTTGGATGTGTCCCCAGGAACCTGTGCTTGTCGTCAGTGACTCAGTGGGTCGGGTTGTCCGGAATATCAGTATCACTCAGTATTGCTCAGAAAAACAAATTTGGCACATCCTCATCCCTGAAGTGTTTTATAACTGAAGGTGAGCTTCTGTACCTCTAGTACCCTGGGCCCCGTTCCACAAAGCGATCTTAGGGCTACGACTGTCGTAAGTCAGTGTTAAAGAATGGGAGTTACGACCGACTTAGCGCTAAGATCGCTTTGTGGAACGGGGCCCTGGTTAAGTTGTAGGTCATTGGATCCCATTGATTTAAGCCAAGCAGGACAAACAACACTGGATTTGTTGTACAACTCTGATGATGACAGTTGTTTTTACATTTTAGGTGCATGAGGAGTTTGCTGGAAATCTGAAGCAAGATGAATGTTGCGATACGCCAATGGTACGCATCGTACTATGTGAGCCCGTTGCGGAAGTGGGTGTATGGGCAGTTGTCTGTGTTTGCGGATGGCGTGGCGTTTCATGATGGGTCGAAGAAGCCAGCACTTACAGGGGATCTAGTCATCAAGTTTGGCAAGATTGCTTTGATGAAGAAGGCTTCATCTTCCTTTATCTTTGGTGCGATAACTATCGTGGACAATAAGGGACACACACACTGGTTTTCTTCATTTCAAGACCGGTCATCCGTCTTCTTGGCCATAAATCATTTTTTTCTAAGTGCTGCCATGGCTTCTGAGTCTTCCAAGGTCAAGGGTATCCCTGAAGGTCAAAGGACGAAACTTGGAACTGATCTTCTGAGGATTGTAACAGACTCCGAACAGACTCTGGAGCATGCAACAACTCGCCTCTCTCAACAAGGGGAACAGATTGACAATTCCATAGCAACCATGAATGACCTTCATAATGACCTTGACATTGCGGCCAATTTCGTCTCTGGCCTCGAGGCTTGGGTCGGACGATGGCAGATGCCCAAGAAGTATATCCATGTTGATCCGATTGTTTTAAAAGGCAATGATGTTCCTCAGGTCTTCGACTATGAAATGTTGTATTCAATGATTGACAGTAAAAAATTTCATCCTCAAAAAGACGGAGTGATAAGGATATCCAGTGACGGTGTCACAATCCTGAATCTTGCACAGAAGGTCCTTCAGCATTTCTCTTGGTCGATCATATCAACTATAAGAGTTGTCAGCCCTTGGGAGCTGCTTGTTACGCAGAATTTCATTGGTTCTCCAGATTTGAGCTATTCCATTGTCTGTTCCAACCTGATCCACATTTTGAGGAAAATAGAGTTATTTGCCCCTGGCAGGCGGAAACTTGATTATGACGTGACGGTTCAGCATCGTCTTCAACAACATGACCCATCCCCAGGTATGATCAATCAATATTATCATAATTTTCAAATTGTTATCAGATGATTTTCAAACAGAGACTGAGGGTAACCCAGAAATTGGTATGCACAGAAAATGACCACACAAGATCAATGAACATGATGAATTATGGTAAATTATGGTTTTGGTTTACATAAAGTAAGGCATTACAATGGGTCATTAAGTGGCCGTAGCAACAAGTAACAGACCCTAGAATTAATGTTTGTGCACTCCAGAATGTTGAGAATATTGTCACTGTTGAATGTCTTGAACATGTTGAAAGGGGCCAGTCTCCTTTCTTGAATCCAGAATATTGTTGGAAGCTGGCAAGAATTCAGTGTTTACAAATAGGTATCCAAACCGTGTTTGACAAAGAGATAAGAAACAAATCAGTTTGGAAAAGGCTTTGGATTTCCCTCCTGTCACTCTTATATAGATAAGGCCATTTTTCTAGAAACTTTCCCATCCAGAAACTTCTCAAATGATCAAGCCTGCCATGTTCTCGTGCACAAGGGAAGATAACTCTAGTTCTAGTACACTACCATTTCTGAGAGCTCTACACCCTGCTGTTGACTGCGGTTCCAATCCAGCCATGACAGCACTTTATATATTGTTTCTAGTAGGGCCGACAATTTATGAGTTTTTGTTTTCATCCCAAAATAAATCTCTTATTTGGAAAAACATTTTGTTCCATATTGGAATAAAATGATTACACTGGCAGAGATAAAAGATGTCCATTGTCAATGTATTTTGGATTATAACTAATATTCTGTCTAAACTACTGCATGTCTTCGGTGAAAAATTTGTTGTTGCAAACAAATATTACCTCTGGCTCAACTTTATGTGTCCAGTCCAGTTTTGTCACACAGACACAGACACAGACACACAGACACAGACACACAGACACAGACACACACAGACATACACAGACACAGACACACACAGACAGACAGACCTTGAATGCAACGTTAAACCCCATTTCAACTCACCTCACCGGTTATAATGTAGGTCTCACTTGGCAACACATTGTCACAATATCAATACCAATATTTCGCGTTTTACTGACCCCCTGAACCTGTGCCCACAGTTATGACAGCATGTATGATGAGGTCTATGTATGTTCCAGCATCAAGGAGTGCCCCAACATCGTCGGCCGCAGTCTCAGACAAGACGTCCGACAAGAGCTCCACTGACACTAAATCAAACACTACCAGCAAGAAATATGATTTGTCTGGACTGGTGGACGATGTGGATGTCCAGGATGACGACCAGTCACAGGCCTCCATGTACAAAGAGGTGATCACTGACCAAGAAGTTGACCAGTTGACCGCGACCTTGAGCAATCTGAAATCAATGGCTCTTGCCGTCCAGCATGAGGAGGACATTCAGAGCGAGAAGCTGGACGTTCTGAAGGGGTCTGTGGACAGGGCCAATGATCGTCTGTCCGCAACCACGAAGAGGACAAACAAACTTCTGTGAATGAGAATACAAGGGTTAGATGATGGAGATACAGAGTGACAGTGATTTTCTTCCCAGTGTTTTATATTCTGTATGGTGATGGAAGAATGTGAATTCTGTAAGGTGATGGTCGAAGGTGAAGGTCGTTGTATTGATATTAGAGCTGGACAGTGATTAATTTGAATCAGAATCATCAGATTTTTGTGTATATGTTGACATTAGTGGGTTTCAAGGACAAATATCCTGATGTGAAACATGAGCAAGACATGATGTCATATGTAACCTGTGGCCGTTGATGAAGATTACAAATATTGTTTAGAAATTGAAATTATTAAAAAAAATTCTGAATGTAGATTTGAAAATGAAAGTCCCTCCTACAAGAAAACTATTTACACATAGGACTTGCGAAAAGTATACTTTCAATCAAAGATAGCAATTTGTTATTTATAAAAAAATCATAACATTTTTAGTCAACTTAGTTGTCACGACTTAACAAATATATTAGAGCTGCCTGTTCTGATGAGCTATGTTGTTTTATCATCATTTGCAACATGTGGGATTCCAAGTAACAATATAGGTCCCCAGTAACCTATACTTGTATGCCCATGGGGATTCTGTGTAAGAATATAGGTCCACAGTAACCTATACTTGTATGCCCATGGGGATTCCGGGTAAGAATATAGGTCCACAGTAACCTATACTTGTCTCCCCATGGGAATTCAGTGTAAGAATATAGGTCCACAGTAACCTATACTTGTCTCCCCATGGGAATTCAGTGTAAGAAAATAGGTCAACAGTAACCTATACTTGTCGTAAGTGGCACCTAACTATTGGGCTGTCAGATTCGCTGAATCGGTTGATGCATGTCAATGTATTCCAACTGCATGGATCAATATTCATGATACCAATCACTGGATTGTCTTGTCCAATGTTATGATGGATGACAGATAATGATTAATGGTGACTCTAATTACACAAAATGTTTTTGTTTGAAACCAAGCACTTATTACACCAAGGGTAGCAGATCGCAGACAAAGCCATGGAGGTCGGCCAACATTTTTTCTTAAATCTTTCGGGGCGGTTGGGTAGCCAAGTGGTTAAAACGTTCACTCGTCAGGCTGAAGACCTGGGTTCAATTCCCAAAATGGGTACAATGTGTCAAGCCCATTTCTGGTGTCCCCTGTAGTGATATTGCTGGAATATTGCTAAAATTGGTGTAAAACCATACTCACTCAATCTTTCCATTCTAGTTCACATGGTCTTCATTGGTGATTGATTCCCATTAAAATAGGGAGTCTTGTGTACAGTGTGATTTGAGTACACATTACTGATGGATATTTCTAGTCAGCCTGTCATTAGCTGTTATTTATAGTGCAGATATTGCCATATCCTTATCCAGTCAGAACTCAGTGAGAACCCTGTCAGATAGATCCCCACATTCTATTTCGCAAGTGTGACTAAATGTGGGCAGGCGACTTGGTTGATTGCACGTGTCATTGTTTGTTGTTTGACGCCACTCACCTATATTCCAGCTATATGATGGCCCTCTGTAAGTCTGGACCAGACAAACCAGTGATTGATGTCATGAGCATTGATGTGCACAAGTGGATGAAATGCATCAACCGTGTCCTGAAGACAAATTATAACATGGGTCTTTGTGGTGGTTGCATGTATCATACTGTGATGGGATGTTGGTCAGCCTCTCAATCACTGGTTTCTCTGCCCAAGACACAACTACTTACAGCTATGTTATTGTGAGAATATCTGTCAGTCAACTAGAAACTGATTCAGAATACGTATCTCCACAGTTTCTTTTCAGAATATACAGTGTGTTCATTTATGCTTCTTACAATTGATTTATCTTCATTGTTTTCATCTGAATAATCACATTTTTTGTGATATTCTGACTGGAGAGCGATGTTCATTCCAGATGTTGTGATTAAGAAAATATTTTGCTGTTTGTTATAATGAACATTGAATAAACACAATTGTTTGTCACAAACAGAGGATTGGCAGAAAGATGGAGTACCTTCAGAGAGTAGTATACCAATGTATGTCAAATTTAAATGTGATTAAAGCTTTAAACCAATAGATTGCATGCTCCACTTATGATACTTTTCAGTATTGGTGTACCAGCCGTTTAAAGGCGCTGCAATTCGCAGTGAGTTGCATCCCTTGCCCAAGCCAGAAACCTTTGATTTTGGGTTTGAATCCCGGTTCGCCGGATTATGTTTCTAGGTTTGTCAGCACCATATCCAATCTAGTGGGTTTCACTGAAGTGGTAAACGTCTGAGACCTGCATCACTTGGGGCTTTCCTCCCACATTAAGCTGACACGTCGTGATATAACCGGAATACTGTTAAAAGCGGCGTTAAATCCAGCTTGAGGTGAAACGGGTTTGAGGTCGCAAACAAGAGTATTTATATGTGTTTGTGGTTGCTTGTACTAGTATGGACCAATGTCGACTTTATTGGGCTTGCCCATTGAGCTACTTTGTTGCAGTTATACATGGATACCCTACTCGACACAAAGTACTGACTCTGAGCCGACCAGTCCAAGTTTTATGACTTAATGCCCAACGCTAGTCAGGGTAAAAACAAGTACCACCTTGTAATCATAATGTAACATATTTTGTTATGACGCGGCCTGGCGATCGAATCCCGTCTATGGAGCTCAGAATGGCATGGATGGTGTTGGGTTGCTTTATACTACCCAGTAGTTAGCACAAAAAGTTGGGTGTTCATGCATGGGTACTGTTGTTATTACCCTGTCTCGCGCTCTGGCCTTTACCCTGCTGTCTGTTCCTTCATGGGTATGGCTTAAGGGAGCTCTAGGCTGTGGCCTTTACCTCGCTGTCTCTCCTCCATGGGTACGTCTTAAAGGAGCACTAGGCTCTGGCCTTTACCCCGCTGTCTGTCCCTCCATGGGCATGTCTTAAAGTAGCACTAGGCTCTGGCCTTTACCCCCGCTGTCTGTCCCTGCATGGGTACGTCTTAAAGGAGCACTAGGCTCTGGCCTTTACCCCCGCTGTCTGTCCCTGCATTGGTACGTCTAAAAGGAGCACTAGGCTCCGGCCTTTACCCCGCGGTTTGTTCCTCCATGGGTACGTCTTAAAGGAGCACTAGGCTCTGGCCTTTACCCCGCGGTTTGTTCCTCCATGGGTATGTCGTAAAGAAGCACTAGGCTCCGGCCTTCACCCCGCTGTCTGTCCCTGCATGGGTACGTCTTAAAGGAGCACTAGGCTCGGCCTTTACCCCGCGGTTTGTCCCTCCATGGGTACGTCTTAAAGGAGCACTAGGCTCTTGCCTTTACCCCCGCGGTTTGACCCTCCATGGGTACGTCTTAAAGGAGCACTAGGCTCTGGCCTTTACCCCCGCTGTCTGTCCCTGCATGGGTACGTCTTAAAGGAGCACTAGGCTCCGCCCTTTACCCCGCTGTCTGTCCCTGCATTGGTACGTCTTAAAGGAGCACTAGGCTCCGGCCTTTACCCCGCGGTATGTCCCTCAATTGGTACGTCTTAAAGGAGCACTAGGCTCTGGCCTTTAACCCCGCTGTCTGTCCCTGCATGGGTACGTCTTAAAGGAGCACTAGGCTCCGGCCTTTACCCCCGCTGTCTGTCCCTGCATGGGTACGTCTTAAAGGAGCACTAGGCTCTGGCCTTTACCCCGCTGTCTGTCCCTGCATTGGTACGTCTTAAAGGAGCACAAGGCTCCGGCCTTTACCCCGCTGTCTGTCCTTGGAAGGGTACGTCTTAAAGGAGCACTAGGCTCTGGCCTTAACCCCGCTATATATGAGGACGGTGAAACGCAGCGAATTTAGAAAATGTATCACCGTGTGTATCAATTTGTTGACCTTTGGGAAATACAATGTGTACACACACATTTACAAAAAAAAATCCATAGACGAAATATTTCCATATAAGGAAATAGAAAAAAGGCTGTCCCAGTAATTGTGTATAAAAAAGGAAAACTGTCACGTGGTAACCTTACGTTGGATGTCTATTTGTTAGATGAACTATAAATCTGTCATAAGTAGCCATTACAAAAACATATGTCCTTATGATTGACATATATACGATGACAGATCTGTCATAGAGTGACCGAGAACACTGGTACATTTCAGAAATGAACAACATCAGTTCTTTGTCGGTGCTCAGTCGTGATATACGCCTTCTCATAATATTTAGCCAGTCTTCGCGTTGACGATTCTCACAGATTAAAGATTAAAAGGTAGCATTGCCCTTCAACGTGGGTTATGTTGTAAAGCAGATTGGAATTTGAATACACGTAGAACCGACAATATTGGCGTCTTCTGGTCTGAATACATTTTCATTTAACTGTTTTATATTTTTTTCATTTTTCAAATTAGGGATAGACATAAAAGGACAATAGTACTGTCTTGCATAACTTGCTTTCCGTGTACTTTAATTACATGTACAATTGATGTTCCATCAACAAATGAATGGTTGGTTGGTTTGTTGTTTTACGCCGCACTCAGCAATATTCCAGCTATATGACGGCGGTCTGTAAATAATCGCGTCTGGACCAGACAATACAGTGATTAATATTATGAGCATCGATCCACGCAATTGGGATCGATGTCATGCATCAACCAAGCCAGCGAGCCTGACCACCCGATCCCGTTAGTCGCCTCTTACGACAAGTATAGTCACCTTTTACGGCAAGCATTGGTTGCTGAAGACCTGTGCTGAATGATGTGCACTTTTATGAAATGTCGACATGTGAAATATGGGCATGCATCTATAAATGTTAGAGGATATGCATCTATGAGAGTATGATGGTGACTTAGGGCAGGGCACGCTTACACGTTTCGCGAACACCTGGTGTCATCACAGATTTTCAGTGATCCATTCATGTACTTTCACCGCTATTTTGCCTGTTATGCCAAGTGGAATCTGTTTCGTCGGATGCTTGAGCATGGTTATTCTCCGGCTTTGACCTTTTATATTAGCCATAAAGTTTGACGACAATGCATCTGAAAAGGGATGTTGCACAATTTCATAAATCGCTCTAAGGATGCATTGGACTCCGCTATGAGCATCTACTGTTAATGCGGGGCCTAGTGGTTAAAGAGTTCGCTTGTTACGCGGAAGACCCGGGTTCGATTCTAGACACGAGTACAATGTGTGAAGTCAATTACTGGTGTCCCCCCGCCGTGATATTACTGGAAAATTGCTAAAAGCGGCGTAAAATCAAACTCACTCACTCACTCACTCAAAACTCTGATGACAAGTCAGATAAAGTTTACACTACACCTCTTGATTAGTCTTAAAAATAATAAAGTTTGAAGGATGTTTAGTTTTGCTTGATAACACATTTGGATGTTAAAATACACCTGACTGCACTATTTCCATGTCACAGGGAGTCTGTTGGTGGCCAGCGCCCACTTCGGTGGCTATGTGATGGGGACACTGCCACCTGCAATCAGCAATATTATATTACATCTATATCACGGCCACCTGTAATCTGCAAGATTAAATTACATATATATCACTGCCATCTGTAATCAGCCATATTATATTACATCGATATCACTGGCACCTGTAATCAGCCATATGATATAACATCTATATCACGGCCATCTGCATATATATATCAAGGCCACGTGTAATCAGCAATATTATATTACATCTATATCACTACCACCTGTAATCTGCAATATTAACTTACATCTATATCACGGACACCTGTAATCAGCTACATGATATTACATCTATATCACTGCCACCTGTAATCAGCAATATTATGTTACATCTATATCACGGCCACCTGTAATCTGCAATATTATATTACATCTATATCACGGCCAACTAAAATCAGCAATATTATATTACATCTATATTACTGCCATCTGTAATAAGCAATATTATATTACATGTATATCACGGCAACGTGTAATCAGCAATATTGAATTACATCTATATCACTGCCATCTGTAATCAGCAATATTATATTACATCTATATCACTGCCATCTGTAATCAGCAATATTAAATTACATCGATATCACTGGCACCTGTAAACAGCTATATGATATAACATCTATATCACGGCCATCTGTAAACAGCTATATGATATTACATCTATATCACGGCCATCTGTAATCAGCAATATTATATTACATCTATATCACTGCCATCTGTAATAAGCTGTATTATATTACATCTATATCACTGCCACCTGTAATCTGCAATATTATATTACATCTATATCACGGCAACGTGTAATCAGCAATATTATATTACATCTATATCACTGCCATCTGTAATCAGCAATATTATATTACATCTATATCACTGCCATCTGTAATCAGCATTATTATATTACATCTATATCACTGGCACCTGTAATCAGCATTATTATATTACATCTATATCACTGCCACCAGTAATCAGCAATAATTTATTACATCTATATCAAGGCCACGTGTAACCACCAATATTATATCATATCTATATCACGGCCACGTGTAACCACCAATATTACATTACATCTATATCAGGGCCACGTGTAACCACCAATATTATATTAGATCTCTATCACACCGGCTTGTCGTCCGCAATATTATATTACAGCTGTATCACGGAGATGTGCAGACAGAAATATTATATATTATGGCAAAGGTCCTACTGAATAAAAACCTCAGATGTTTTTTATATGTCTAACTATCTTGACAAGATCATAAATCAAGAGATGACAAGTTAAACCGCTGTACACTTATGGCCGAAAATATGTCAGCAAAAACTCTTTGTTGTGAAACAAACTTGAAAAAACCCCAATTTAGCCTCAGGTTGTACAATACAATGTAATAGTTAACTGGATGCCATGTTGTTGGTTTGGACAATGTCGCCATCTGAGGCCCGGGTAAATCATTTAAGAAGTCTTATGGCAGACATTGAGAACAGTTAATTAAATATAATACTTCGCTTGCCAACATAATGCACGATGCTGTGCATGCTGGGACCTTTACATGGAGTTTTCACAACTCCCTAAGCATTGGCAATGACTTTCTCATTGAAAACTGTGAGAGAGTGAGTATGGTTTAACGCCTCTTTATGCAATATTTCAGCAA